TATAAAACAATTCTAAAACTTGAAATTGACTACGAAAATTATGGGATGATTTGAAAATTATATTTCTAATAGATGTGGTATCCAAACTACATATAAAAAAAATTATAAAAACTTTAATTGAGTTTTAAAAATATATCAATCTTCTAAGAATATTGTTATTAAATAAGCTTATGTAGGTGTATCATCTAAATAAGCCATGTAAATAAGCTTATTTCTTACATTGATTTACATTTCCGTTTATGTATACATTATATTCATCTTGGTGAGTGTTTTCATTTTAGGATATAGGGGTTGACAAAAAAGATCACTTAATAGGTTTTTCATGGTATAGAGCTTGAATGTTTGGCTTAAAGTAAACGAGATTTTAATCCGCGCTTTCCAAGCGGGAAAATTTTTTATGATTAAAAAAATAGATATTTGATTTTTTTTATTTAAAGTAAGTTTTGGTATAAATTCAGTAATTCGAAATATTTGTGATGATTTTGTTTTGCATTGTTTTTTAGTTTCTGTTTTTTTTTTGGATTTGGTTTTAGATTTTGGATTTTGGTTTTTAGTTTTTTAAATTTCTTTTTTTGATTTTCAGCTTTGGGTTATAGTTTTTAGATCCAGTGAGTTAGTTTGAACTGATATTACCAACAACCAAATCCCAAATAATCGAACATCTAATTTCAAATTTAAAAGATGACAATTTTTTTAAAAAAAAAATTCACTATTTTATTTTGTAAATAAACGAAAGCAAAAATATAACCTGCGCTTTCAGCTATTGTTTTTTTTTTGCTTTATATTTAATTTTTTCTAAAATAATCAGTAAATTATTTAAGAATTATAAAATTATAAATTATTTAAAAGCTACCACTGAAATTTATTAAAGCAGAGTGATCTATACTATTAAAAGAGAAGGAGTCTAAATAAATCTACTTAAAAAAGTTGTTTGGACCCTTTCATTAAACTAACATTTTTTTATCTTTCCTTATATTTCTCTAACAATATTGTATAATAACATTATATCATATAACTTACCTTATATTTCTCTAACAATAAATTAGTCAATATTCTTATTTATTATACATTACTCTTATCGTTCAATATTTTTATTTCTCCACAATACATTATTATAACCTTATACCATATAATTTCATAATATGTGACTGATTTCACACATTATACAAAAAATATATCATTTGCTTGAGCCACCAACTGTGCAACAGTACCCTCTACCATTTCCATTGATTAATTTTCATAGCTGATGTTTGATAAATAGAGAGTATAAAATATATTGAACATCTCCATTCACGATAAATATGTTTAAAACCAAACATATTATTATTTTTAGAGTAAACCTGTCTATAACATAGTATATGGTAATAATACAAAAACCGGTTTATTATCATAGTATTCTAATGTTTGGGGATATTTATACAAACAAGTTATAAAATTAATGATTTATTATTCTAGAGAAACTATTTTAAAACATTATTTAAAAAAAAAATATATCTAGACTCGTGAAAGATTGTAACTTATAATCAATATTTTCATGAATAATCTAATTTCTATGTATTTCCAGTCTGGTAATTTTTAATTTCCAGATATGTAGCGGGTAGGCTTGGATAGTTAGGACTCAAAGTACCAATAATCCCGAAAAATATTTGAAAAATACTTCAAACCATAAATAAATACTCAAAATATATTCAAATATTTGAAAACCTTGAATTTTACCTAATCTGACTCGAAAAACAAAATATACCCAAAACTTTAATTTGAATATCCAAAAAATATATATATATATTTTAGAACCCGAAACCTAAAACTGTAACTAAAACTTAAAAGAATATACATAATACCAAAAATATATATGAAATATCTAAACATATATAATAAAAAAAAATATTGAGTACTTTTATGTACCCGATCGGGTCTCGGTTATGATCCATACTAGAATCGATTCGTGCGGGTCTTTAAAGATAGCCAGTAAGTACTTTATCAAGGATCCTAACCGAACCTATATTTTCAGGTCGGTTTGGTCGTGTTTTTCGATCCGGATAAAATGTCAAGACCTAGAGAGAGTTACATTAAAAACTTACATATAAAATCTCAAATAAACTAATTTATAAATTACATAATTTTTCAAAAAAAAATCTATTTTATATATTAAGATTTGTAGCCTAATAAAGTACATCAATTCTAAAATACTAAATCATATCAAAATTTGTTTATAATCTAACAAAAACCCGCGCTTTCGAAGCGCGGGTCAAAATCTAGTTGTTATTTAAAATAAAAATACAATAACAGTTTTAAAGTACATGATGTAAACAAGTGCTTAATAATGGACAATTTGTTTTGTTAAAAATGTCAAACATCTTTGGGTCTGAAAATAGTAATTGATTTTTTAATCCATTAAGGTAAAAATTTTATTCAATATTTTTTTTTTGCAGTTTTCCCTTAATACTAAACCCAAAACCCAAACCATATAATTTGTCCTAAAAACAAAAGTAACCCGAAGTCTCTATCCCATAGATAAACATTGGTATTTTATTAATTTAGTTACACATATTAAAATTAAGAAATATATGATACCATTTAATATTTTCTTTTGGGGTTTTTTGTTATTTCACATATATGATACCGTTTATATTTTTTCAAAGAACTGTTAAAATATTAAAGGGTATATTACAATTTCCAAAATCTATTGGTTTATATGATTGGTAGATTTTCATATTTGTTAAGGAAATGTTAAGATATGAAATCTATTGGTTTCATATAATTAGTAGATTTCCATATTTCATAATTTGATTATATATATTCTTAGAATATTCCATATTTGTATGACAAAATATGTGTTCTCGGGAAATCAAGTTCGGTTTGATTTAAGTAATGCGGTTCATTCAACTATATGACATGTATTATTTCTAAAACTCTAGAAATAGTCCAAATTTAAATGATAACTTATATTAGTAGATAAAAAGAATGACTATATTTTAATAGAGTAGATTAACAAATCATTTATGTTTGGATTTATAAAAGTCTGGGCTTACTCGGCATATGGCTTAAATAGGTTTGAAAGTAATCTAATTGATCAGATATATTGGTGAATTTTTTTTCAATAAAAAAAAAAATGAGATTTGGTTGTAACTACTTGAGTGATTCTGCTTTAATAATATAGATTTAGCATTTTTAGCAAAAAAAAAAAAAAAAAAAGAAAAAAAAGAAAAGAAGAATACATACGTTTATAAGAATTATTTAATATCAAATCTATAGAATGACAAAATACTTATATGTATAGGCCCATATAAAATTACTGTACGGAATGTTTCTTTTACTTTTTGTTACATCCTAGGTGAGAAAACAGTGTAACCCAACCCAATGAACATTTGATAGCAAAGAGAGAAACCAATGATGGATGATTTTTTGTAGTACTTTTTTGATTACTATATGGAAAACAAAAAGAGAGAATGATTTGCATGGCTGGAAAAGTGGAGTATAAAACCCTACTAAGCAAACTATTTTTGTTAATGTTAAAGGATGCAAAAGTATTGGATTGATCTTGAAGTATCTCTTATATATTAAAAGAGAAGCATTGTAATAAATACGTTCACACCATAACTGACACGTGTCAGCCTCATAATCATTTGGCAATAAATATGTTCACACACTAATTTTTAAATTCATTATTTACTGTGTTTATACATTATTTTTTTAATTAATTCATTTTCTTATATTTTTAGCTTTTGTATTAATAAATTAAACTTTTCTACGTGAAATTAATGAATAATATCTTTATTGTAAAAAAAATACAAAATCGTTAAGATTCGCATCAACTAAGATTATAAAGTTTCATATCAGACCAAGAATTAGAAACAAAATTCAAATTGGTAGAAAATAAATCAGACATCAGAAAAGCTTTTTAAAAAAATTAAAATCACAAAAATCAATTAAAAACAGAATTCAGTTACCAAGTGAAGATGTCATTTTGTAATATATATTATTTTTATTATTGACGGTACAATTTTATTTTCTTCATATGAAAAATGTTATTAATTTTAGGTTTGTTTTATGTTTACTTAATTTTGTTTAAGAATTTACTATTATGTGTTATTTTGAACAAATTTTTTTAAATCTTAATTAACGGTATATTCATATATTTATCATCACATTTATATATTTTTACATATACATACATGTACACATTGACATGAGCGACTATATAACTAAATATTCACCACAAGTGAGAATTTTAATTCTTATTGAAGTTGATTTTTTTTTAATGTTTTCTTTCACTATTGCTCAAATTGTAGTGAAATGTTTTATGTTAATAATTTTTTTTTCCTTTTTTCAAATATTATTTAGATTTTATTTGATTTTACATGTCTTTAGAATTATAATAGGAAACTATTAGTTTAACATAAAAATGTCTAAAATTTATATTAAACAAAACCAAACAAACAACAAAAGGTTTTGGTTATCATCGAAAAAATTAAAAACATTAAATATTTAAACAAAACAAACCAAAATAAATATAGATTTAGAATGATAGTTATATTTTAGGAGATTAAAAAAACAACATAAAATTGAACCAATATTCATTGCTAAACAGGCATAATATCATTTTTATCTTAAAAGTAATAAAAGTAATAATTTCATTCCGCGCAAGACGCGGGTTATTACCTAGTATACCATTATATGTGAGGAAAAAGAAAACAACCAAAAGGAAGATGAAGCAAACTCATGGTTCCAGTGTCTCCAACTTTCAGTAATCAGTACATTAGATGCCATCATAATTGCTCTTATGCTAAAAAAGAAATTGCTCTTATGTGTTTTATTTGTCTCTTCTATTTTTGGTTGCTCATATTTCACAAGAGGAAATCGACAACGATAAATAGAATCTTCTTTGGACATCACCAGCAAGATCTTTTATCCCTCTTAAGGTAATTGATAGTGAACCAATATTAAGAGCAAGCTGCAGTGCTCTTAACGGGCTAAAAAGTGAAAAGTAAAAACAGAACCTCATATTTCACTGTGACTTGCACTAGAACACACAGATTTAAGTAGAAAATAGTACACAAGTCAAAAGGTTGATAGGAAAACGACAGAATACGAAGAAAGTTCGTTTCTTGTTTTTTACTAGATACGTTTTTCTACACTCCCCAAAACTACTACATCCACAAGTTTAGCTTAAGCTAATAATGTACAGATGTTCCCCTGCTTCTCTTCTCCATGAGTTGGGACGTTTTCTCAAAATAGAGCTGTCCAAGACCTTTGAAGTTTTCTCTTTATCTGGTGTTGAGTTGCTTCCGCCATTTTCAACTGCATTTTCCCATAACATACAGAACAAAAAAAACTAGACATAAGTCGACCATAACTAGTAACAACTGTACACTCACAATTTAAGCTACTGCACATAGTAAATAATTAAACTTCAAAAGGTTGTACCTGCTCTTCTTGTCTCTTGAGTCTTGCATTTTCCTTCTGCAAGTGAGATATTGCAAGCTCCAACTCGTTTGTATATGCCTGAAATATAAGGAAAATGTATACCATTTTTTAGTACTGAGAAGAAACAATAGATTCATCACTATATTTTCAGTTTATTTTCCATTAGTTCACATGAAGTTAATAAGAGGAAGGAGAGTAAGGAGAGAGACATTCCTGTTTCCTAGCCCTGGAACGAGCAGCAGATTCTCTGTTCTTGATCATACGCCTATGCCTTCTGTCTCCTCTGCTTTCATCAGAATCTTGGCCTCTTTTCTTCCCAAAACAACCAAACCTCCCAGATTCATCAAAGTGGGTGTTAATGGAGTGAGGGTTTAAACTGAGAACAGTTTCAGGAGGAGGAAGAAGAGAGCGGTGGAGAGTGGAAGAAGAAGAAGGTGGTGGTGGTGGTTCTTGATTCAGAGGCTTGTTGAGGAAATCTTTGAAGATGGAGTTATTAGGGTTTTGGCTGCTCAACATTGGCTCATGATCAATGTTTAGCTGACGATGTTGTTGAAGCGACGCAAGGTTGATTTCTTTCCATACTTCTTCCATGGTGACTTGAGCCATGTTCTTCTTGGCTTGTGAATGTGAATTAGGCAATGAAGATGATGAAACTGAAAAAGCACTATGGTTGATCTTATGCTTTGCTGATGACAACATTGGAGATCAGAACAGCACATAAAGCTTTGTATCTTTGAGAGAGAGAGAGAGAGAGAGAGAGAGAGAGAGAGAGAGAGAGAGAGAGAGAGAGAGAGAGAGA